ATGTTTTATTTCTCTATTCTATAATTTATTCCTATGATCTGTAATGCTGGCCTTTTCATTTCTTTATTTTTGTAATTTTATTTCCCTAAGAACTTGTACTGAAGGATCTGTACCTAGGTACCTTGTACCAAAGATGGTGCTCTAAGTGGCCACTTGTAAACTTTTCACTGTACTCAATTGAGTATGTGTGAGAATAAAGTTAATTTAATTCATTTCAATTCAGAGTTCGCATTTCATCGGAATATTCTCCCTCCATAACTGTTTCCTGACCTGCTGAGTATTTCCAGAACTTTCTTTTCATATCCCACCAATGCCCCCCACTATTGCCTTGCCCCTCCTTAGCTCTACTGCCTCTTCTTCCACCACCACAGCCGAGCGAGAAATCTGTCCGTCTCTAATCCTGTAATCTCCTCAGGTTTAGCAAGAACTGCAGATGCTGGAGTCAGAGATAACAAAGTGTGGAGCTGGAGGAACTCTGAAGAAGGGTCCGAACCCGAAACGTAAGCTTTCCTGCTCCTCCGGTGCTGCCTGGCCTGCTGTGTTCCTCCAGCTCCACACCTTGTTATCTCATCTCCTCAGATTTGGTCACCCAACCATCACTGTCATGTGTCCTCCGCTTCCTGAGGCCTAATCCCTGGAATTCCCACCCTCTCTCTCCATCTCTTCAAAACCTCTTTGAAACCCTACCTCTTTGATCAAGCCCTTGGTCACCTGCTCCAATGAAATGTATGTTACTTAGTGTCAGATTTGCTAACTGCAGTTCCTGTGTATTAGCCTGGGATAGTTCACTGATGCTGTGTACAAAGGTGTGACTTTAATTCCCAGTGAGCGTGGCTGCTATGGTGATGGGATAAATGGGATATTTTCAGGTCCCTGCGCTGTGACTGCTGGGTGCTGCAGGGATCAGTACCTGGTGCCTCAGCTATTTAGAATCTCTATTAGTGCCTTAGACAGAGAGAGACAGAGGTTATTACATTTAATAATCAAAGCAGAAATCGCTGGGGAAACTCAGCAGGTCTTTGGAGAGAGAGAAACTGAGTTAACATTTCAAGCCCTGTATGACTCTACTTCAGATCTGAAAGGGGCTGGAAATTGACAATCTTTGTTGAATAAGTGCGGAAGAGATAGTCATAGAGTTATACAGCACAGAAACAGACCCTTCAGTCCAACTTGTCCATGCTGACCAGATATCCTAAACTGATCTAGTCACATTTGCCAGCATTTGGCCCATATCCTTGTCCCTCCAGCTTGCTTTGGGATTCATTGTAACACAAAATCATTTTGCTGTTGTATTGAAAGGCGAAGCAGACTCAGTAGGCCAAAAGGCCTACTCCTGCTCTGATTTCTTACGTTCCTGTATTTTGCTGTGAAAGAAGGTGGATGTTTCATCAGTAGTTTTTCCTGTAAATTTGGGTGACATACTTCCTGCTAACAGCAAAGCTTGCTGCCACATCAGCTTGTGGCTCATCAGAAATTTCCATTGGCCATCACTGGATCTCACAATGGCTACTTAGTGCAGATTGAGGCCATTCAGCCTGGCTTGTTTGTGCTAGCTCTCTGAATAAACATCTTAGCAACCTCCCCCATCGCTGTCTCTGTAAATCCCCTTCCGTCTGGAGACTTACCCACTTGTCTGTGAATGGAATCTCCCTCCTTCGGACTGTCAGGTGGTAAATTCCAGACTCTAACCACCCACCATAGAAAGATGGCAGGGCATCTTCATCGAGGTGTGCCACCCTTTAGCCAATGGCACTGGTTTCTCTCTCTTTTCCACTCCACCCACGTGGCTGAGTGGTCAGAGAAATGAAAGCCCATGGAGTACAGGGGAATGTAGCTGGGAAGCAGAACCTGTGCAGGCACAATGGGCTGAATGGCCTCTTTCTGCACTACAACAGTTCAGTGATTTTGGAGTGAGTAGGATCCCAGCCCGACTCAATGACAGGAAACAAAAGGTGGATGTTGCCGGGGCTAGAAAACTGGAGCCAAGAAGAGAGATTGGATGATCTAGGGTTGTTTTCCTCACATCAGAAGAGGTCAAAGAGTGGTTTAATCAAGGTGTCCAAAATAATGAGGGGGTTCGATGGACTGGACAGGGGTGGCATGGTGGCTCAGTGGTTAGCACTGCTGCCTTACAGTGCTAGGGACCCGGGTTCGATTCCACCCTCGGGTGACAGTCTGTGTGGAGTTTGCACATTCTCCCCGGGTCTGTGCGGGTTTCCTCCGGGTGCTCCAGTTTCCTCCCACTGTCCAAAGATGTGCAGGTTAGGTGAATTGGCTATGCTAAATAGCCCATAGTGTTCAGGGATGTGTAGATTAGGTGGGTTACAGGGGGATGGGTCTGGATGGGATGATCTGAGAGTCGGTGTAGACTTGTTGGGCTGAAGGGCCTGTTTCCACACTGTAGGGATTCTATGATTCTATTCTATGGCCTAGTGGAGAGCTGAATTACCAGGGCAGACAGATTGAAGGTGATTGGTAGAAGGATTAGAGGGGGGATGTGAGGAAAAATGTTTGCACCCAGAGAGTGGTGGGTGTCTGCAATTCACTGCCCAGTTCTGGTGGTTGAGGCAGAATCCCACAACTCATTTAAAAGGATCCTGTCTCCACACCTGAAGCACTGGAGCCTGCAAGGCCACAGGTCGAGGAGAGTGAGATTAGAATGGGTGGCTAGTTTATTCAACTGCAGCTGCAATGGGCTGAATGGTCTTTTTCTGTGCTATGTTTCTGTATGGGTCAATCCTTCTCTGTCCAGACCCCTCCCAATCTTGAACACCTCTATCAAATCCCTCTTTCTTTCATTGTGGGTGCTCGGACCTTCCCATTAGCTTAGGCCAGATCGCGAGGTTTCTTGAAACACTTTATTATAAGACCACAAATTAAAGGAGCAGAATCAGGCCATTCAGCCCGACGAGTCTGCTCTGCCATTCGATCATGGCTGATATGTTTCCCAACCCCATTCTCCTGCCTTCTACCCTTGATCTACTTATTAATCAAGAACCTATCTATCTCTGTCTTAAAGATACTCAATGACATGTGGCAGATGGAGTTTAATTCAAATAAAGATGACATGCTGCATTTTGGAAAGGCAAATCAAGGCAGGACTTATACACTTAATGGTAAGGTCCTGGGGAATGTTGCTGAACAAAGAGACCTTGGAGTGCAGGTTCATAGTTCCTTGAAAGTGGAGTTCAGGTAGATAGGATAGTGAAGAAGACATTTAGTATGCTTGCATTGAGTATAGGAATTGGGAGGTCATGTTGCAGCTGTACAGGACATTGGTTAGGCCACTCTTGGAGTACTGTGTGCAATTCTGGTCTCCCTGCTATAGGAAGGATGTTGTGAAACTTGAAAGGGTTCAGAAAAGACTTGCAAGGACGTTGCTGGGAGGGTTGAGCTATAGGGAGAGGCCAAATAGGCTACGGCTATGTTCCCTGGAGCATCGGAGGCTGAGGGGTGACCTTATAGAGGTTTATAAAATCATGAGGGGCATGGATAGTGTGAATAGCCAAGATCTTTTCCCTGGGGTGGGTCAGTCCAAAACTAGAGGGCTTAGGTTTAAGGTGAGAGGGGAAAGATATAGAAGGGACCTGAGGGGCAACTTCTTTCACCCAGAAGGTGGTGTGTGTATGGAATGAGCTGCCAGAGGAAGTGGTGGAGGCTGGTACAATTATAACATTTAAAAGGCACCTGGATGGGTGCATGAATAGGAAGGGTTTAGAGGGATATGGGCCAAATGCTGGCAAATGGGACTAGATTTATTTCGGATATCTGCTCGGCATGGATGGGTTGGACTGAAATGTCTGTTTCCTGCTGTATGACTCTATGACTTGGCCTCCACAGCCCTTTGTGGCAGTGAGTTCCACAGATTCACCACACTCTGGCTGAAAAATATTCCTCCTCATCTCAGTTCTAAATGATATTGATGGTTTGACAGCAACAGAGCTCTATGTTCCAACCTTCTAGCAGAGTCCTGACCCCACAAACACCATTACCTCCGCCTTAAAACTATTTAAAGATTCTGTATTACTGTGTTTTGAGGTAGGGAATATTCTAAAGTCTCACAACCCTCTCGGGTGAGGGGTGGGGTAAAATAATTCTTCTTCATCTCAAATGGGTGCCCCCTTATTTTTAAACTGTAACCTCCAGTTCTAGATTCTCCCATGAGAGAAAACACCATTTCCATATTGACCTGATCAAGTCCCCTCAGGATCTTATATGTTTCAATTAAGTCACCTCTGACTGTTCTAAACTCCACAGGATACAGGTTCAGCCTGCCTACCCTTTTCTCATAACGCAATCTTCTCATTCCAGGGATTAGCCTGGTAAACCTTCTCTGAACTGCTTCCGATGCGTTAATATTCTTCTGTAAATATGGTGACCTGTACCTACACAGTGATCCCGATGTGGTCTCACCAGTTCTTTGTATACCTGAAGCATAACATCTCTCCTCCTGCATTCATAACACAATATTCTGTTAGCGTTCCTGATTACTTGCTGTGCCTGCGCACTAATCTTCTGTGATTCCTGCACTGGGATACTCAGATCCCTCTGTATGCCAGAGCTCTACAATCTCTCACCGTTCAGATAGCATACCTCAGTTTTATTGTCTCTGCCTAAGTGGACAATTTGACACTTTTCCCACATTATAGTCCATTGGCCAGATCTTTATTCACTCACTTGACCCATCGAGATCCCTTTGTAGGCCCTTCAGGTCCTCCTCACATCTCGCTTTCCTAATATCTTTGCGGTAACAGCAAATTTAGCTCCAGGACCTTTGATCCTTTCATCTGAGTAATTTATATAAATTGTAAAGAGGTGGGCACTGATCCCTGTGGCACACCATCCTACCTTTGGGTCCCCTCTGCAGGGTCCATCTTGCCACCATGAGGTGGATTGAATCCTGACTGCCGTCTCTCTCCTGCTCCTGCGATATGTTGTAAACGTTTTGCCGGAATAAATGGTTTCTTAGTGCTGATTTTCCTGTTTTCTTTTCCTGACAGGATGTTGCCACTGCTGGACCAGGTGGCCCTGGGCCGAGGCTCTATCCGGGCCTACCTGTGGTGCTTCGTCATTGCCCTGGTCTTGACTGCCATTGTCAAGGGCGCACTCCATGCCTTCGACCTGCTGAGGCATTTCCGGGACAACACCAGGAGGCTGAGGTGTTTTGAAAGCCCCCCAAGAAGGAGCTGGCTGATGGGGCACCTGGGAATGGTAGGATCCCTAGAAAGCAGAGTGGGAAGCCCCCTTGTCGGGAGGTGGGAGACCGACAGATTGTTTTGACTCCCACCTCACAGGCCCCTGTCACGTGACCATGGCTTCAGCATCTCCCGCGGCAACCCAACACAAATTCGGGCAGGAGATTAAGCGGGCCCTAAACTGGCAGCCCCATGTCTCCAAGTCTGAGTCTTCCCAGGATCCTGGGATTGCGCCGGCGCTCACTGGGAAGGCAATGGGGAAAATTGAGGTTGTTCTAAAATACAATGGAAAGTGGAGGGGCGTGGGATAACCAACCCAGAAAACTATCCATGGGCGGTTGGGGAGGTATAGGGTGGAGAAAGGGGGCACTTCCCCTCAGTCTAGCCCCTGTCCACCATCCCTCAACCTGACCCTGATTATGGTTACCTGTTGGGGTGGCGGGGGGAAGAAACAGTGAGGAAGTGGATATGTGACAGCAACTGGGGCAGCCATGATCTTACTGACGAGAAGAACATGTTAGAAGGGCTGAATGGCCTGCTCCTGTTCCTGAGTCCCATGGTTCTGACACGGCAGAGGTGGCATCCATGAGCACCCCTCGAACTGACATAGAATCAGAGAAAATTGGAGCAAGAGTAGGCCATTCGGCCCATCAATCCCACTCCACCATTCAATATGATCATCCAACTCAGTACCTTGTTACTGCCATCGCCCCATACCCCTTTGATCCCTTTAGCCCCAAAAACAATATGTAACTCCTTCTTGAAAACATTCAATGTTTTGGCCATAACAGTTTTCTGTGGTAGTGAATTCCACAGGCTCACCATCCTCTGGTTGAAGAAACTTCCCCTCATCTCAGTCCTAGATGGCCCACTCTGTATCCTTAAACTGTGACCCCCTGCTTCTGGACTTCTTGGACGTCGGGAATGTCCTTCCTGTGTTTACCCTGTCTAGTCCTGTGGGAATTTTATAGGTTTCTGTGAGATCCCCCCTCCACCTCATTCTTCTAAACCCCACTCAATACAGCCCTGACTGATCCAGTCTCTCTTCTTTCGTCAGTCCCAGGAATCAACACGGAAACATGGAAATCAAATGCTGGAAACCAGTGAGTGGGAGGTTCTGATTGAGAAGACAGAAGGCTTACATCCAGCATTGAGAAAGATATTACCCCCTCCACCACCACCACTATCCTCCCAATCTGTGCTGGTGAACTGTGGGGGGCAGCATATTGTCGAGACAATTTGTTGTCACCCTGAAGTTTGGCCTTGCATTTCACTCCTTGTAAATTGCAGTTTGTATCTTTGCAGTTAAAGAATTTCATTGCAATGCGAAGGTGTGAGGGTAAGGGGAGGGGTTCAGTTGTGCAAATCTGTTACTGCTCCTGGATCCATCGCTGTGTGTGTCTCTGGTTTGTCTCTGTGGGTGTCTTTTCCTGAAATCAAACCACTCAGATGCGTCATGGAGCAGGTGGGATTTGAACCGGGGCCTCCTGGCTCAGGGGTAGGGATGCTACCACCCTGCCAGAGGAGCTCCCTGCCTCCCTGGTTCAATGGAGCTTTGTTTGTGGACTAACTTCCTGCTTCATTCTGTGTTTGCTGTGGCTTTGTGTAATAATGGTGCTCTCTGTTTGTACACCCCAATGCGATTAGATCAACCCTGACGAGGAAGGAATGAGAAAGATGGCAGAGTTGGTTTCAACGTTCCCACACACCATGAAGACATGGCTTGGACCGGCAATACCCCTCATCTTGCTGTTCCACCCCAGTTACATTAAACCTGTCCTGTTGGCATCAGGTATTCAGTTGAAGTCCGCGCTGTTGAGTATTTGAGTAAGTTGCTGGGGATAGGTTCTGGACCACCTCAATCCTTCAGGGGCACAGACCGTACTTCATCATGTCTGTGACTGTCAGAATGGGATCCAGTCCGACAGCGAGATGAATGAGAGGGGCAGACCGGCCGAGACAGACAAATGGGACAGGCAAGTGGCAGTGTAGAGAGAGGCCATTCATCCCATTGATCCTGTGCTGTTGCAATCCACACCAAAGGGAGTGGATGCTGTTCCTGATCCAAGAATCATGGGTGTCTCACGACTCTGATTCTTGCTGTGACCCCGATGGGGGAGGGTGTAGGTTACATTGTGTGGGTCATCCGGTTTTCATGGGAATGGCAGTTGTTTCTCATAAACATGGATTTCAGTGACATGCCCATGTGGTACACAATGGACAGCAGGTCAGAGGTCACACTGTGCGCTCTTTCAACAAGCTGCTAAACATTTCTGACATTACTAACAGCCGGATCCTCCCGGAATGTGCCTGTCCTTGGATGTTTACACAGGGACTTATTGAGACTTGATGGTGTGGCCTTCATGTGTTGGATAGTGAGACAGTGTGAAAACAGCTCTACAGAGACTGTGCCAGCTGCTGACGGACTGAAACTGGGCAAATAGGCTCTGCCCCAGAGTCTCGGTAACTGCCCAAACTTTACAGAAGCAGCCATTCAGTTCAGCGAGTCCACACCAACCCCCCCCCCCCCCCCCTCCAAAGAGCATCCCACCCCCTACCCAATCCCTGTAACCCTGCATTTCCCATGGCTAACCCACCCACATCCCTGCACACTACGGGCAATTTAACATGGCCGATCCACCCTAACCTGCACATCTTTGGACTGTGGGAGGAAACCAGAGCACCCACGCAGACATGAAGAGAATGTGCAAACTCCACACAGATAGTCACCTGAGGCTGGAATTGAACCCGGGTCCCTGGTACTGTGAGGCAGCAGGGCTAACCACTGAACCACCATGCCACCCTTCTTCTTGCCAACAATGTCTTCAGGCTGCCCTCACACAAAATGGTTGCCATCCTGAAGACGCTGAGGTGTGTCCAGGATCAGTGATGAGACACACTCCCCTCAAAAACAGTTTTATCTTTACTTGAGGCACCTGCTTTCCCTTTGAACCGAAATCAGACCAGCAACTTTGACTATTAAATGTGAATCAGGACCGACCTAGGGCAGGTAGATAAAGCAACTTGACCCCGGTCCCTGCTCAGTCTGTGAGGGGTTTATCTGTTTGAATTTGGCTGTGGAGAAGCTGATTCAGGGAAGAAACTTTCTCCGTCTATGTATGCTATTTAATTTCAGGGCTGGGTCAGTGACTGCAGGTGTGTCTCTGTCGTCTTTGAAAGTTTAAAGTTTGTTTTAAAGAGAAAAAGATGGCTGCTTGGATAGCTTGGTCTCTCTGGTATATCTGTTGGTGTACTCACTTCTCCGCTATTGGCAGTGTCATTCCCATGACCCTTCTCTCTCTGTTAACTCTTTGTCTGGTCTGTTGTCCTTTCCTGGTTGGGCAGTGTTAGCTGCTGGGAGTCCAATGGATGGGAATATTGCTAATAGTGACCTTTGTAACAGTGCCCAGGGGTCAACCATCATGAGTCACAACACCACGTTTTCAATTTTTGGTTCAAAACAATTCAAACAACTTCTCACGAGTCTCTCTGTCTCTTTTCAATTGCTCTGTGCCTCTTCACTCTCTTTTCTTGTGTTCCTTTCTTTTCTATCCCCTTCTTTCTCACTACCTCTCCCATTGTCTGAATCTAATTCCTCTCTTTCTCTTCCTCCCTCACTCCCTGACTCATCTCCCTCTCTGCCTATCCTACAGGTCACCCAGGATCTCGTGTTTGCTGTTTACAAGGTTGAGGTGTTTGACGTTTTGTCAATAGACAATTTTCAGAAGCTTCTCACCATTTATTCTAAACACAGGATACAGGAGGCTGAACATATCCCTGCCATCCCTTTGCTACAGTAATTGAAAACTTAATCCTGTATCCCATTCTCTGCTCATTACCCTGTATCAAGGCCAATCTCCCCAGAGCCTTGTGTCAATCCCACACTAATCTCACTGTCCCGCTCTCTCTCCTCATAGCCCTGCATCAATCCCACATTAATCCTACTGCCCCACTCTCTCCCCATAGCCCTGTATCAATCCCACACTAATCCCACTGCCCCGCGCTCTCCCCATAGCCCTGTATTAATCCCACTGCCCCGTTCTCTCCCCATAGCCCTGTATCAATCCCAAAACCAATCCCATTACAAGCATACATTTGCTGACTAAACAGTCACCATTTCAGTATGTATATATTTAATAAGGGTTGATGGATTTGTCGAATTAACCAGTGCAGACATGCTGTGACATCTGTGGAGCAGGTGGGACTTGAACACACACTTTCTGGCTCAGAGGTAGGATCACTACCACGATACCACAGGAGCCCTTAAAATAGGGTTTGACCTAAAGCCCTAACTAATACCTGTCCAATACCTAAATTAATCATAATTAACATAATTAATTCACCCCCACCCCTCCATTTGCAGATACTCTCGCTATCTTTGTGTGCGTCTCTCTCTTTCTCTCTCTCTCCGTCCTTCCATTCTGCCTTTTGGAGGCTCTCTCACTCTGTCATTTGCTTTTTCTTCATCCAACTCTTTTGTTTCCTCTCTGTCACCGTTGTTCTCTCTCCCTTTATCTGCTTCTCTTCAGTCTGTCTTGTTCTCTCACTATCTCTCTTGATCTTTTTCTCTCTTGTTCTCTCTATCTCTCTCTCTGTCTCTCTTGTTCCCTTTCTATCCATATCTCTTGTTCTCTCTCTGTCTGTCTCTTTTCGTTCTTTCTCTGTCTGTCTCTCATGTTCTCTCTGTCTCTCTCTTTCTCTCTATCTGTCTCTCTTGATTTCTATCCCTCTCTCTCTTTCTCTCTCTCTCTCCCTTCCCTTCTCTGTCACTGTAAGTGACACCCCCCCGCCCCCAACCAAACACTTGGCTATATTGGAGGGTAACTATTTAATACTGCGGCTCTATGAACCGAATCATTTGCTTGTGTGAAAATAATTACAAACAGAAGGATCACTGCATGAGTTGGGGAAAAAAAATTGCACAATTTTGGAATTATACGACCAGCTTCAGCCTGAACTTTGAATCAATTTCCCTAGGCTTGACAAAGACCTCTGAGCACTGCCTCCTAACTTGGGTGCATTTCCCCTGCTCTGGGACACCTTGTGAATAAATGTGCTGCTGATTTCCCTGCTGTGTAAATGATGCCTTGTTTAATGGTCCCAGAGGAGCCTGGAAGAAGGTTTGTTGTGAAATCCGTGGTTTGGCAGGTTATTTAATCCCAATCTTCTCCTTAATAACTTCACACATTCACCAAATCCCTTTTCTGAACTTGGTAAAGCATGTGCTATCCAATTGTTTTTTGAATTGCGAAGATTGATTGATAAAGGGGGTGGTCTTAATCATTTTTTTGTTGCATCCTGCACAAATCAGGATTGTCGCTTGGGCCTGAACTGATTGAGATTTGATGATGGTTTATGGGGATTCAGGTTTGATTGTCATTTTTCCTATCATTCTCTGGTTAATTTCTTGCCTCCCACCTGATCTTTATCTCATTAGATCCGCAGTACAGAGGAGGGTCTTAACCTGGTTAATGACATCGTCAAACGCTATGTATACTGCTCCCTTACGTGGTTCGGACCCATCTACCCAATTGTGAGGCTTTTCCATCCGGCATATGTCAAGTGTGTCCTTTTGGCATCAGGTAGAGGAGCTTCCAACCTGAAACATTGAGATCAGCCAATTGTTATCAGTTCGAAAAATATCCTCGGTTTGGTGAACTCTGGTTACTCCTGTTAGGGATCTAGGGGAGCTCCCCTTGGAACGGGAATTGGGGAAGCATTTCTTAAGAGTGAGAGCGAAGGGAGAGCTCTTTAAACGGGCTGGAACAGGACAGGGGGCTGAATGGCCTCTGCCTGACTCTTGCTGCTTAGCACCAGCCTGTTGACCATGAGCTCATCGGTCCCTCAATTGACAAACGTCAACTCTGTCAGACATTGCTGACCTTTTCAGTTCACCAAGTGTTTACGAAATGAAGCAAGTCATTTTGTTTTTTATTTTGGATTCACAGGGATTCTGGTTTGCAAGGAAACTCGGACTAGGCCAGGATGAGATGTGGAAGAGTTTAGGGAAATTTTGGACCCAGTGTCAAGTTGTCTATTTCAATCACTTCATCAGAGAGGGGGCTGTTTTATCCTGCTCTGTCACCATGCCTTACATCTCCCTGCCCTCTCTCAGCCCAAGAGGAAAATCAATCTACCCGCTGGTCTATTTGTTATCCTTTCTTAGGCTGTGGATAACACTGCCTGGGCCCAGCATTTATTGCCTGTCCCTAGGTGGCCTTGAGAAGGTGGTAGTGAGCTGCCTTCTTGACCCGTAGGGAGGGCAATCCATTCCTTCTAGTCTTTGTGGTGGTTTTGAGTGGTTTGCTTGGCCATTTGAGAGTCAACCCGATTGCTGTGGATCTGGAGTCTCGTATAGGCCAGACTGGGTAAGGATGGCGGATCTCCTTCTCTGAAGGGCATTATTGAACTGTTTGGGTTCCTATGACAATCAATGATGCTTCTGTGGCCAACATTACAGGAACTAGCTATTTAATTCCACATTTATTGATTAACTGGATTTGAATTCCATCAGTTGCCGTAATGGGATTTGAACCCATGTGCCCACAGCATTAACCTGGACCTCTGGATTATAATCAGGCACACTGCCTCCTGACAATGCCCACCTTGAATTTCCATCACTAGACCTCTTGATGGTTATCCGGGTCTCCCCCTAAGAGATTGGTGAATGTTGTCACCCATTGCAGTGACAAGCCAATGGGTCAGACTCCAAAAGAACTGCTCAACTGCAACTGGATAAAGTTGTGTTCTAACTACCGCACAATTTGTGCTGGAAGATATCCATCCAGGTGTGGACTCTTGGTCAAGCTCATAAAATGTTTGATGATAGAAAGAGGTTCAGTGATCAACGACCAAGTGTACTTTATTGATACTCGTGGTTTAATATTTAACAGATCTGAAGCAAGAGCTGTTTGTTCTTTGACATCGATCCAAACTGAAGGGTAGAAACAGCTTTTGCGTACTCACAGCCAGATTCTGAAAAGAGAGGGCGCTACGTTGCAAACAGTACAGGAATGCTGGACTGATGAACTTCCTTCTGCAGTCTGTGATTAAAAGAGTATGGGTTCGAGATGCCATAATTTCAAACAGAAAGTAGGGAGGACCTTTTCTAAAGCTGTACAAGGCACTAGTTGGACCACAGCTGGAATACTGTGAACAGTTTTGGCCCCTTATCTAAGGACAGATATACTGGTACTGGAGGCAGTCAAAAGAAGGTTCACTAGATTTATCCAGAGTATGGAGCGGTTTTCTTGTAAGAAGTGATTGAGTCTATAGGATACATACTGTGAGGGGGATAGTTTATAGACTACGCACAGTGAGAGTTGGTTAATCTATAGGGTACACACTGAGGGGGATCGTCTATAGAGTACACACAGTGAGAAGGGGTTAGTCCATAGGGTACACACTGTGAGCGTGGATAAGGTACATACTGTGAGGGGGATATAGTCTTTGGTGTACAGTCTGTGAGGGGGTTAGTCTATAGGGTACACAATATAAGGGGGGTGGGATAGTTCAAAGGTTACACACTGCGGGGTGTGGGATAGTCTATAGGATACACACTGTGTGGGGGTATAGTCTATAGGGTACACAGTGGGGGTAGTGGGGTAGTCTGTAGGGTTCACACTGTGAAGGGGTTGGGATAGACAATAGGGTTCACACTATGAGGGGGGTGGGGTAGACTATATGGTACACACTGTGAGGGATCTGGGACAGTCTATAGGGCACACACCTAGAGGAAGTGGAATAGTCCAGAGGATACACACTTGAGGGGGTGAGATAGACTATGGGATACACACTGTGAGGGGGGCATAGTCTATAGGGTACACACTGTGAGGGGAGTGGGGCAGTATAAAGGTTACACACTGTGAGCGGGTGAGATAGTCTATAGGGTACACATTGTGAGGGGTGTATAGTCTTACATGGTACACACTGAGGTGGCAGGATAGCCTATAGGGTACACTGTGAATGGGTGGGATAGTCTGTACAGTACACAGTTTGAGGGGGTGCGATAGTCTATAGGGTAAACACTATGAGGGGGGTGTCTATAGGATACACAGTGTGAGGAGGGCGTGGAAATAGCCTATAGGGTACACACTGTGAAGGGGGATAGTCTATAGGGTACACACTGTGAAGGGGGATAGTCTATAGGGTACACACTCTGAGGGGGTGGGATAGTCTGTCTTTTAGTGAATGGTTGTGGCTGGATATTGTGAATATTGAGGTTGTCCTTACTCACTCCTGTTGGTTGTGCACATGTTCTGCTGGAGACAGGTACTTCCCTGTATGATTTATGGGAATCTGATGGTCATACGTTTAGGGGAGGCAATGGTCTAGTTGTTTTATCACTAGGCTGTTAACGCGGAGACTCAGGCAACATTCTGGGGACTCGGGTTTGAATCCCGTCACGGCAGATGGTGGAATTTGAATTCAATAAATGTCTGGAATTTACGAGTCTAATGATGACCATGAATGCATTGCCAAGTGTTGGGAAAAACCCATCTGGCTCACTAATGTCCTTTAGGGAAGGAAACTGCTGTCTTTACCTGGTCTGGCCTAGATGTGACTCCAGACCAACAGCGATGTGGTTGATTCTTAACTGCCCTCTGGGCAATTAGGGATGGGCAATAAATGCTGCCTGGCCATTGACACCCTCATCCCGTGAATGAATAAAGAAATTTTAAAAAGTTCTCACCCTTTGGGAATCCCCACTTGTGTAGAATGAACTTTTGTTTGAAGGTTGTAGCTTTGAAGTCTTTGGGATAACTTTAGTTGTGATTTGGTGCACTGAGCTGGGAGCATGAGACAGAGAATCACATCCAAGGTTGCCTTGACAGCAGTGAGATAAATGAGGGCTAGGCAGGAGGGAAAGGGCTGGGACCTCTAGCCTCGTAATCTCATCGGCTCCTCCAGTCTCTGGGAGATGGCAGTGATTTTGAGGAAAACAGTATTTATGTTCTGAGTCACCTTTGGCTTCGTGGAGCAAGAAGTAAGTTTGCAATTAGCCAAATTGAAAATGGCCAGCTTGGAAATTTTGTAAAGATTTGTTCGTGGCACAAGTTTTCTGGAGCTGGGCAGGGATATGGCATGATCAGAGCAGCCCTCATCCTGTTGAATGGTGGAACAGGCTCGAGGGGTCAAGTATATAATCGCTTACTTCTCCCCATTTCCAGCCCGCAGCTCCAGGTGGCTCTGTGCTGTGTTTCTCCTTTACACACCCCATACTTTATTCCTTAGATTCTGTGACCCACAGAGACAGTGAACCCTGCAGCTTTATCTCAGACTGGTATCCATGCCTCTGTACCCCACCTCACTCTCAGCACAGCTCCCTCTTAGGGAGAGGACACCGTTCTCAGGCCCTTTGGGGGTATCAGACACGGGAGCGAGTGAATTTTTTTTTGGGCATTGCTGGCTAGGTCAGCATTTATTGCCCATCCCTAATTGCCCAGAGGGTAGTTAAAAGTCAACCATGTTGCTGTGGGTCTGGAGTCACATGTAAACCAGACCAGATAAGGACAGCAGATTTCCTTCCCTAAAGGACATTAGTGAACCAGATGGTTTTTTTTTGAAACAACAATCAGACCTTTAATTTTATTGCATTCAGTCTGAATCAGTGGGATTTGAACTCAGGTCCCCAGAGTATCTGTATTAATAATCCAACAATATTACCAATAGGCCATGGCCTTCACTTGCTTTCAGAGATGAGAAAGACTGCCTGGGAAAATTTTGTATCATTTACAAATTTGAACTGTCTATAGTTTAGCTCCGTGCAAACACAGTCTATACCCGCCCTAGATAATGAGCATTTACCCTTTCTAATTATTATTTTCTATTCATTCCTGGGGTATTAGTTTAGCTAGTATTTATTGCCCTTCCCCCTAACTGCCCATCAGAAAGCGGTGGTGAGCTGCCTTCTTGAACTGCTGGTGTAGGGGCACCCAGACAGTGTTGTTAGGATTCTGACCCAGCATTCCTAAAGGAACAGTGATTATATTTCCAAGTCAGGATGGCGCACGGCATGGAGGTGAACTTAAGTAACCTGCCTCAATTTGTCTTGACGATGTAGCATTCTCCTTTTGAGTGATTGTAAAGTTTGAGTGTATAAAACCTTGTCTTCACTCCTCTGTTCCAGCTCCCATTGCCCCAAAGGACAAACTTTTCTACGGTTTCCTCAGGCCTTGGTTGGGTAAGTAGTTGCCATTTTGTGTCATCCTCTAACATTCCCGTCTTGTTCTCTCCCTCTGCCCCTCACACCCCAGTGCCCCCTTGGTAACATGAGCAGAGATGAAGCTAGCTGGAACCTTACTGGTAATTATTTTTATGGGGGTGCTGTTTTCAGGAACAGTAGGGGGAGGAGAGTTAAGTTTCTGGGTTAAAATACCTTCTGTCAGCCCTATTTTCCCCCCCGCCAACCTTCCTGCACTGATCTCCCAGTGAGAGTTCCAGTTTTGAGGAAGGGCCACTGAACCCGAAACATTACCTGTGCTTTCTCTCCACAGATGCTGCCAGACCTGCTGAGTTTCTCCGGCTCTGATGTGATTTTAGATTTCCAGCCTCTGCAGGATTTTGCTTTTGTGTTCTTGCTCTGGACTAGATTTTCGTTCTTGGGAATTCTGTACTGGTAACTGGAAGGTTCTACTGGCAGGCAAAAAGAACCCCCTGCATTTCTGTAGCACCTTTCCTGACCATTAGGATGTTGTACAGTGCTTAGAGCACAGCAAGCTCTGACAGTCAGTATGTGTACAAGGTTGGATCAGAATCTATTCTCTGTTTGAATATGGAATAATCCTGGTTAAAATATCACTCCCCCCACCCAACCCAACCCAACCCAACCCAACCCAACCCAACATAATGCTTTCTGTGTATGATGCAGTTGGGTAAGGGCAGACAGAGCCCCACTTTAACACTGCGTCTGACAAGGCTGCACCCCTTCAGTACTGCATGGGAGGGAGTCACTCAGCTCTATTGGGAGCGGGATTTGAACCCCTGGACCCGAGGCTGATGGTGGAGGGCAGTGAGGTCGAGCAGGATACTGTTAGTTGGAGCAACCCAGTTAAACAGAGCGAGACTTTCCCAGTCACCATGACCTCCTGTCAGTCCTGGGACAAGGTGAGCTTGTACTGACACGGGCAGATTCTGAGGGATTCTGGAGCACGGGGAAAGGGTGGGCATTGCAGGTCAGAAACTCACACTGATGGCTGTGTGCACGCTCACAGACCTCCCGTAAACCCTCCTGCAGACCACCCTGCAGACCCCATACAGACCCCCTCTCGCAGACCTCCCTGCAGACCCCACACAGACCCCACACGGACCCTTCCACAGACCCCACCCAGACCGTCTCCCATCGAACCCGCACAGGCCCTCCCGCAGACTCCACACAACCCTCCACAGACCCCCCCGCCCCCCGGCCACGGACCCTCCTACAGACCCTCCACAGAAACCTCCCCACTAACCCCACACAAGGTGACATTTTGTGCACCAGGTACTCCTTGTCGAAGCTGACCTCTGACCCTTTCTCTTGGCCCTACCAGGTGATGGCCTGCTGATCAGTAAAGGAGAGCGATGGGCTCGGCACAGACGCCTCCTAACACCTGCCTTTCACTTCGACATCTTAAAACCCTACGTCAAAATCTTCAACCAGTCAGCCAGCATCCTGCATGTGAGTAACACACTGAGTGTGAGCTGGCTCTGTCACTCTGGGAGGGAGTGAGTGAGGGAGGGGGTGAGTGAGTGAGGGAGGGAGTGAGTGAGTGAGGGAGGGAGTGAGTGAGTGAGGGAGGGAGGGAGTGAGTGAG